TTTCCTATTTTTTTTTTTTTTGGACTGGGAATCGAACTCAGGTCCTTGCGCTTGCAAGGCAGGTGGCAGAAGCACTGAGCTACATTTCTGGCCCATGTTTATTTTTTTTTGGTACCAGGGATAGAACTTGGGTCCTTGCACTTGCAAGGCAAGTGACAGAACCACTTAGCTAAATCCCTGGCCCCAGCCCATGTTTGAGTATTCTTGAGGGACAATAAATATCTAAACTGGACACTTGTCAAACTATGGGTCAAGTCAAAAATGAGCTTTAAATAATAAATCTCATGCCACCCCTATAATCCCAGCAGGAGGAAGGCTGAGGCAGGAGGAGCTCCCTGAGTTCAAGGCCATCCTGGGCTACATAGCAAGACCCTGTCTCAAAACAAAAAAATAAATCTCAATGATTCGGGGTTGTAGCTGTTCATCATTTTATGATGTCCTAAAGTTAATTTGCATAAATGTGAGTCATTTAATATTCTAGTAACAGTTGGTTTAGCTTTTTTATTTTTGGTACCAGGGATCGAACTCGGGTCCTTGAACTTGTGCAGCAGGCAGCGAAACCACTGAGCTAAATCCCTGCCCCAGTAACAATTGGTTTTGATTTTTCTTTTTTTTTTTTTGCTACTGAGGATCAAACTTAGGACCTTGGGTTTGCAAGGCAGGTGGCAGAACCACTGAGCTAAATCCCTGCCCCAGTAACAATTGGTTTTGATTTTTCTTTTTTTTTTTTTGCTACTGAGGATCAAACTTAGGACCTTGGGTTTGCAAGGCAGGTGGCAGAACCACTGAGCTAAATCCCTGGCCCTTGATATACCTTTTTGGAAGTATTAAGCTTGCTTCACAGAAATACTTGCTTTCTTCAATTAGCTTGGTCACTGTGTTTCTTAGTTCAAGACTACTATTCAGACTGGATTTGCTTTGCTCTTTGGGGCTGTTTTATAACTGTTGCTTTGTTGTTGTTGTTTTGTTGTTGTTGTTGTTGTTTGAGACAGGGTCTCACTTTGTAGTTCAGGTTGGCCCTGAACACTCTGTGTAGTAGTCCAGACTGGCTTTGAACTCTCGGTGATCCTCCTGCCTCAGCCTTTATAGGTGTGTGCCACCATACCCGGCCTGTTGCTTATTAGTTTTTTGTGTTTTAGGGTGCTGACTACCAGATAGAAAGGACAGGCTTGACAATGGACTCTAGATAAACTCAGCCTAAGAGCCACTTTTTCTAAAGCTCTGCTCTGTTTGATAAGAAGGGTGTCACATACCCTCCGATATGGGACCTTTTCTGACTGACATCACAGGAAAGGTACCGAGGGACAAGGCACAAGGTGGCTGCAGCCTTCAGAAAAGAAGAAAATGCCTACAGGGACAAGGGGCAAAGTTGCAAGCCTCAAAGAGTCACTGACCAAAGTAAGAAGAACTGCAGGGTTATGAGAAAAGGTTCTTATTCATGATTGCCTAAAAGCCAAAAAAAAAAAAAGCCTTTCTAGCAGGCGTAATGGTTAGATAGCTCCTGACTTTGGCTTTCTTTTGACTTCACAATCTTTATTTGTTGTTTTTTGGTACCACGGATCAAACTCGAGACCTTGCGCTTGCAAGGGAGGCGCCAGAACCATTGAGCTAAATCCCTGGCCCCACAAATTTTTTTTTTTTTTTTAATACCGGGGGTCAAACTCGGGTCCTTGCGCTTGCACAGCAGGCTGGAAAACCACTGAGCTAAATCCCCGGCCCAAAGATTTCTTTTCTTTTTTTCTGGTACTGGGGATCGAACTCGGGACCTTCCGCTTGCGAGGCAGGTGGCGGAACCACTGAGCTAAATCCCTGGCCCCCCACAATCTTTATTGGCACTTATTCAGGCTCAAGCAACTGGCTTCCCTTTGTTCATGCCCAGCTGCCTTTTTCTCTTTCTTTATTTTCTTTTTTTTTTCCTGTACCGGGGACGCAACTCAGGACCTTGTGCTTTTGAGGCAGGTGCGATGCCACTGAGCTAAATTGCCGGGCCCCCAGCTACCTTTGATGGAGCCTGCTCACCAACCCCACCTGAGATGGCAGGCCAGGTGACAGCACCACGGGGGGCTCAAATAAGCAAGGGGGAGTTGTTACCAGGACTGTACAATGGAACTTTAAAAGTTAGGGTTTTTTCCCTTTAGAGACAAGTGGCTTGCTGAGGCCTAGGGCATAAACATCTCTTCCCACCTCTCCTCAGCCCAGATGAACAGAATATGCAGATCCTGACACCAGAGAGTCTGGAGCCCAGTTTACTTTCCAGATAAAGGGGACAGTGAGCTAAACAGGGCTAAAAAGCCAGTGTGGAGATGGGCATTCTCTCTCTGTGTGCTACCCCTCCTTGCCCACCTGTGCGCTGGGAGATGGTGATTTGAGGCAAGTGGGTCCCTCAGTCTCCAGAGCTAGATTTGACTAAATCCTTTTTTTCCTTTTTACCAGGCTTTATGGTCTCCTTTTTTTTTTTTTTTTTTTGGTGGTACTGGGGATTGAACTCTGGTCCTTGCGCTTGCGCAGCAGGCAGCGAAACAACTGAGCTAAATCCCCAGCCTATGGTCTCTTTTGAATTGGTCAGTAGGAAGCAGACAAACCTGAGCAAGTGAGCCTAACATAAAAATCTGAATGAGGAAGAGTGGGATAAGAAGCTTTCTCTTTATCTGACTAATTTTTAAACTTAAATAACATGTGTTCTTTTGTATATTTGTCTCTGGAATACTCCTCTCCCTTGCTTCCTGGAAAGACAGTATACCCAAGAACAGAGATACATCCTTGCTAAATTCATGAAATCCCTAGTTGGATTGCCTGTGAAGAAAGATCAACAGGGAAAACACGAGGAACTGAGTAGGTTTAGTCAGGATCCCGGTTCCTTTTGTGAGTGAAGAGGAGTCAGAATGCCTGCCAAAGGAAGAAGCCTTTACACATCTCTCAATCCCATGGAATCATTCTGTAAATTACAGGTCACCTGCAGGCTCCTTACAGAAGAAGAATGATTACACCAGAGCATATTGGCAGGGATAGGAAGAGCTGCTGGCGTTTTCAGTGGAGTCACTGCTTAGGGAGTTCTAACCCTTAGGATTTCGTTGATGAATTAGACTTTGAGCCCCAGAACCCTTCTGAGATTTGATGGAAAAAACAGGCAAAACGGAAACTACAGAGATTACTTGCAGTTTACCCCTGGTCACCAGGATGTTGTCCCGCTCTGGCAAGATTTCTGTCCCAGAGCTTGTCACAGTCACTGCCAGTGAACTTGTTTTCCCTCTAGAGACAGGCTGATTGGAATTGGGCCAAAAGAAAGAGATGGCTGTTTGGATCAAGGAAGCCTGGTATCTGCCCACCTTCCGGTCACTCTCTAGTCAGTAGCCACTTGCCCTGGAACAGGGGACACTGGGGGACATCCTAGCACTAAGAACATAAGAGGGTCTAAAAGGGACATCATCTCTCCCCTTGTTGTCTTGCAGGATGGGAAACTCGAAGTCAACCTCAAATTCCATTACTCCCTTGAAATCTATTCTTAAACACTGGGATTCTTTTGACTCCCAACCTTTAAAGAAATGTTGCTTGATCTTTTTTTGCACCTGTGCATGGCCTGAGTACCCTTTGGGTGAGAAAAGTTGGATACCTGAGGGAAGTACTGATTATGTCACTATCCTTCAATTGGAATTATTTTGTAAAAGAGGGGAAATGGGCAGAGATAGTTTATGTTCAAGTCTTCTTTGCTCTGAGAGATAATCCTGGCTTATGCTCAAAGTGTGGGTGTGATCCGAAAGAAAATCAGGTGGCTCTAACCAGCAGATCTCATATCTCCACCACCACCAGGCCTGATGCTCCTCCCCTCTGCCCTCCATGCCCTGAAACCCCTAAGCCACTTCAGATTAAAGATTCAGCGGGGCCCACATGCATATACATGCCATTCTCCCTCCGCAATCTTAAACAAATAAAACAAGATTTAGGGAAATGTTCAGATGATCCTGATCAGTACATTCAGGTTTTTATAGGACTTACTCAGTCTTTTTACTTAGCTTGGGAAGATATTATGTTACTTTTAAACCAGACCCTGACCCCTGGTGAGAAGCAAGCAGCTTTGGGGGCTGCTATAGCCTTTGGGGATGAGATATATCTAATCCATTCCAAAAGGCCAGAGGAGTTAGGACCAGGAGAACAGCCATTCCCCATAGGAGCCCAGGCAGTCCCATTACAGGATCCCCACTGGGACTCCAATACTGCAGTGGGGGACTGGAACAGGAGACATTTCCAAACTTGTGTTCTTCAGGGCGTGAGGAGAACTAGGTCTAAACCTCTAAACTATTCTAAATTGTCAACTGTCAGCCAAGGGAAAGATGAGAATCCCTACGCCTTTTTGAACCAACTACAGGAGGCTCTAACTAAGTACACATCTTGGTCACCTGAGTCAGCAGAAGGTCAGATTATTCTTTTTTGTTTGTTTGGGGGTTTTTTGTTTTGATTTTTGGTACCGGGGATTGAACTCCGGTCCTTGCGCTTGCGCAGCAGGCGGCGAAACCATTGAGCTAAATCCCCGGCCCAGGTCAGATTATTCTTAAACATAAATTCATCACTCAGTCAGCCTCTGATATCTGAAGGAAGCTTCAAAAATGGGCTTTGACCCAGATAGCTCGCTTGATAGTCTGGTAAGGGTAGCCTCTTCTGTCTTCTATAACTGTGACCGGGAGGAGGCCAAGGAGAGAAAACAAAGGTATAAGAGAAAGGCCGCTGCCCTTGCAGAGGCCCCACAGAAGGCTAACCTCAGGTCAACTTCCAGGGGCTCCGAAAGTGGCTACTTGTCCATGTTATGGTTGTGGGAAGCCAGGACATTTTAAGAGAGATTGTAACAAAGCTCGCAATGATAAGCCCGCTAAGCCATGCCCTGAGAGCAGAGGGTATTATTGGAAGTCACACTGCCCCAGAGCCGAAGGTCTGGGGGCACAGAATTAAAGTCCCTGGGGGACATATCCGTGTCTCCCTCCAGCTGAACTCAGAAGAGCTCCAGGTAATTTTTACTATTGAGAGAAAGAAAACTAGCTTCTTGCTGGATACTGGAGCCAGATTCTCAGTTGTTCTCTCTAACCCTGGCCTTCCTCCACACAGCCACACAATGGTAAAAGGAGTTACAGGAAGACTTCCTTTCCCCCTGTCCAATTCTTTTCTCAACTTCTCATCTATAATTGGGATAGGTTTCTATTTTCACATGCCTTTCTGATCAAGCCTATTCCCCTCCCGAGATTTTATCTTGCCTAAATGCTATTGCTTATGACCCAAACACAAGGTATGTTGTCTTTCTAGCAGAGATGGTAATTAACTTGGAGGTATGGGCAAATCAGAGTAAAATAAGAAAGGCAATAGGGCCAGGGATTTAGCTCAGTGGTTCCACCGCCTGCCTCACAAGTGCAAGGACCCAAGTTTGATCCCCGGTACAAAAAAAAAAAAAAAAGAAACCAAACAAATAAGAAAGGCAATAAAGAAAGCTACTTCTGTGCAGATCCACATTAAGGGCCCCACTACTTTTCCTCAACAGAGACAATATCCCCTGCAACGGACCTTAGAACACCTAGATATTAGGAATACAAAAACCCAATAGAGACTGGAACCTAGTGAGCATCTTTGCTCAATAAGTGGGACAGAGGTACCCATACACCTGGCGGCACCTAACCTGTATACTTTCCTTTCCCAGATCCCTGAAGAGACCTTTTGCTGTATTCTCTGTACCCTGACTCTCCCTTTTTTTTTTCCTTTGAAGACCTGCGTGACCTCTCAACTCACTAAGATGTGTTGTCTCATCTTTTTGGACAGGTGCTTTCCCACAACGTGGCCTGCTTGAAATCCTCTTCAAATTACAGTCATAATATGTGGGTGATATTCTGCTATGCACCCCATTAGAAAAATTTTCTAGTCAGGGCAACTGGCCCCTGCTAAAATTTTTGGCAGGTAGAGAAGGTATAAAGTCTCCAGGTCTAAGGCACAACTTTGCAGTTCTGAAGTCAAATATTTGGACCTTATCATATCCAAAGGAACTGGAAGACTAAGGGGAAAAAAATTAAACCCATACTCTCCTTCCCACTGCCCAAGACCCTAAAAAGAGCTAACAGGCCTTGGGTAGCACAATATGGCAAGATAACATGACCTCTTTATCAACTAAAAGGAAACCCAGGGCTGGAGATTTTAGCTCAGTGATTCTGATGCCTGCCTTGCAAGCGCAAGGTCCCGAGTTCGATCCTCAGTACCAAAAAAAAAAAGGGCAACAGGATATGCTACAGTAACTCTGTGAGAGACACTTGGGAGCTGCTCACTCAGCCCTGGAACAAATGCTCAGTTAGCAGAACTTACAGCCCTGACAGTGTAAAAATATGAAAAGAAAGGAACTCTTTAACAGCCTGTGGGTCTCCCCTAAAATTCCATAGAAGAGAAACTCCTGATGTGTTTACTTGCCTTCAAAAGTGGCAGTAACACATTGCAGAGGCACCAGAAGGGTATGGATGAGGTGGCACAGGGTACATCCAGCTACAGAAAATGCTGCTCCAGCCCCTAGGATCTGGAAGTGTCCTTATCCCAGACTCGGCCCAAGGACTCTCAACCAGATGAGAAACACACGCCAAGCATTGGGACTCAGTCCTTTCAAAATGCTTTACAGGTGACCATTTTAAACTAATGAGTTTTTTATTGATTTAAAAAAGAAAACATGATTGGACTAAAGACATCGGCTCACTTGGAAAATTTCAACAAATTCTGCAGCAATGAATGGAAGCTTAACCCAGAGAGCTCGCACATCTGGTATTGTACCTCGGAGACGTGGTGCTGGTAAAATCTTCCTCATCTGCTTCCTTATGGCCAACTTGGGAAGGACTGTATACACGGGTGACTCTCAAATCACAACTGCCTTTGCTGTGGAGGTAGCTGGCTTGGATTCCTGGGTACACCATTACCAACTCAAGCCTTGGGAGCTGGGGACATTTCTACCTGTGACCCACTGCCTGAATATTCTTGTGAGCTGGTAGAAGATTTAAATCTCTTGTTCAGAAAAAAAACTACATCTCCAGATACGAAACTTTGACATGCTACCTCTTATTGTTTTCATGATCACACTTAGACAGGGAAAGGAGTCAAATTTGTTTTTGGTTTGGGCCCAGGAATATGCAAAGTCAATATGGCAAGAAACATGCTAGGTTTGTGGATGGCTTTCCTTTCCAGCACCTCAGGGCTCCCCTGGTGGGCATTCTTCTAGAATAGTAAGTGGAACAAGCTACTCGATCTCATTGAATGTGAAAACTCTCTGGTGTTTGACAGGTAGTACATGGATCTAAGGTAGCTAAATGGCCTATACAGTCCACTCTTCACAGCCCCAAACACTTATGAAACCTCTAGGAACAACACTCAGACCTCCATGTGGGCACTGACTAAACCTGTTATCCAAATTTTCAGGCCAAGGTCCTGTTAGATCTAACTACCAAAGCTACCAAGATGGCTACTTCCAGTAAATATGGTTAACTGCCACTGTGGGATGCCTTCGCCAAAGGACCTTCTTATCTTGGGAACAAAGGAACCCCACTCACACTGGCTCGATATCACTAAATATGGGATGGGCTCCCCTTGATCAGTAGATACATACAACGATTGATTTGCAGTAGATTGGATTAAATTTGATGCAGCACCCCTAAAGGCGCCCATCGGCTCTGCAGGACTACTTTATGGCTGTGGCTGTGGCCTGGGTGGGTAGCGAGATGTATTGTGAGACTTGCCTAGTTCCAAGGCAGATGGGTTAAGAACATTACCCAGCCTACCCCATCAACACCAGTGGTCTCAGTATATTTCACTGGTGTGATTATTTAGCTTCTACCTTCATTCCTTTCCTGGGGCTGGAAGATGTCATACAACATATAGAGACATTAACCAACTACTGTATACCAAGAGAACCCTAAACGGCTCAAGGGAATTTCTCTTTTATTTTTATTTATTTATTTATTTTTTTGGTACTGGGGATCGAACTCGGGTCCTCAGCTTTCGAGGCAGGCGCCAGAACCACTGAGCTAAATCCCTGGCCCAGTAATTTCTCTTTTAAACACTGAAGTCAAATTGATGAGACAGGTTGTGTTACAGAACTAAATGGCTCCAGATATCCTGACAACAACACAGGGCAGGGCCTGTGCAATCAAAAGTGAGTGTTGTGTATATATTTCTGACTTTGAGCAATGTCTTCAGCCCTCCAAGATCTTCATCAGCAGGTTAGTGCCAAGTCAATCCTTAAGGGTCCCTGGATGGCTTCTTATAGAGAAGTCATTCCTGGCTCACACTGGTAGAAAGAAACATTTGTTGTTGGGATAATTATTCTCTTGGGACTGCTATTTGGGCTGTGCATACTCAGTTGCTTAATAAATAAGCTCTGTCTCTTCCAGACTCATGGCTGTTTGTCCACTGGAAAGAAGGACACCTGGTCTATCTAGGGCCTTGAGAGAGACCCTCTGGGGAGTGTTCCTGACTGCCAACTATTGCACCAGCCCCATCCAGCAGGAAGAAGCTAGAGTGGTCATCGCCCATTTTCCCTTCACAGCAGTGGGGGACACCTCTCCAGAGGAGGGAATTTGTAGTAAGCAGGGCAGGCAGCTAGGGACAAGGTAGGCCCAAGATGGCACTGGGATGACCCAGGGAAGGTCAAGAAGAGACGAAGCCTGAGACTGAGGGCTGAGAAGAACCAGGCCCCAAGGTGGCCAGGGCTGAATTTCTGTACGCCCCACCTCTAGTCCAACTGTTTGCAACCCCATAGGTTGATTTCAGCCTGGTGCAGAGTCCTCTGAGATGTGGTCATTTTCTTGTATTAAAACCCATAGACAGTCTCCATGGCAACCCACCTTCAACCCCCCTTCCTGATTTCAGGAGCTTTCTTCTAATAAACTGTTTTCCTACCTGCCTCCTGGAATCCGTTCTTCAGCAATGTGAGGCATGAACTTGGGTTTGTATGTGTACCCCACAACACAGATACATGCCTGCAGTTCTGGAGCAGCTACCTCCTCGCTTATCTAGCTGTCCCTTTACTCTAAGCAGCCACCGAGCCTATGTGATGTACCTGTCACAATGCTGGCCACTGAGACAAAAGAATCCTCTCCTTAAGCATTCTGGGGGAACACAAGTGGAAACTGACTAATGAGACACTGCACAAGGAAGGAGAAAGGGTGCCTTCCACAAAGTGCTGGTGTGGGGTGCGGTGGGAGCATGTCCAGGCATGCCCAGCTTGTTGCCAGCCCTGGCTGAGGGCAGTGGGAGGTAGGGACAGCTTGGTTCAGGAAGGATGCTCCTGCAGGAAGGGTGTGTGGTAAAAATTTTAAAGGGCTGGGATGTAGCTCAGTGAGAAGGTCCTGGTTTCAATCCCCAATATCATAATAAATAAAAACAATGGGTGAAAAAAATTTCCCAATACTCATGAACACATCCCTTCCCATTGGGGAGAAGCTAGTAATAAAATAGAATGAAAGAAAGGTGCTCGGTACACTACCAGGCACATAGTCCATGATGATGTTTGTCCAAGCTGGCTCTGGATTCTTTTGCTTATGAATGTCCACTTATGGGGGAAAAGAAAAAGCCTTCCCCTGGCACCGTGGCACAAGCCTATAATCTCAGAACTCTGGGAGGCTGAGGTAAGATGATCACAAAAACAACTTCAAGCCCAGGCTGGGCAACTCAGCAATTTAGTGAGACCTTGTCTCAAAAAAGGTGGGGAGGGGATACCTGGGCATGTAGCTCAGGGTAAAGGCCCTGAGTTCAATCCCCATTATCCCCCTCAAAACCCCCTATTTTTCTTGGGTCAGTTTTCCACTGTGATGGTGGAAAACTAGTCTGTGATGTCCTGAAGATGACTCCTAATCTGAATTCCCCCACTGGGGGAAAGAACATAAATTTGTCCCCAGGAGCAGTTCTCCCACCTGTAAAATGGGAGCAGGGGTACAGGGCTTGGAATCTGGCCCTTTCCGGTTCCAATTTCTGAAGTATTTCTTCTGTCAAAAAGAAACAGGTGGGGGCAGAAAGAAGGAAAAGGGTGGAAGTGTAGCTCAGTGGCACAGCGTGTGCCTAGCATGCATGAAACCCTGCATCTTCTGCGTCTTGGGCTGGGAAGTCAAGCAAGCCACCCTTACTCTACCCAGCTGGCTCAGTGAACACTTACTTTCTCTCCTGGGAAAAGGAACATGTGCCAGCTACCCCTAACTTTTTTTCTCACCTCACCTCAGTAAAGGTGATTGAAAGGCTTGTCACCTGCTCCACTCTCGAAGTGCTTGATGGAACTGCCTTGATTTTGTGTCTTTCAGGCTCCCAGGGGGTGGCATGGCCTAAAGGGTGGGAAGAAGAGGCCAGTGTTGTGTTCTGCCTTGAACGGCCAAGGGCTAACACAGTATTCTAGTCTGTGATGTCCTGAAGATGCCTCCTAATCTGAATTCCCCCACTAGGGGGAAGAACATAAATTTGTCCCCAGCAGCGGTTCTCCCACCTGTAAAATGGGGGCAGGGGTACAGGGCTTGGAATCTGGCCCTTTCCGGTTCCAATTTGTGATTTGCACGCCTGATATCTAGATTGTTCTTTTTAAAAAAAAAAAAATTGGGATGGGAATGTGGGGCTGGAGATGGCAGTGACCTGACTTCTCTGGCAAGTGTCATCTGTCATGTACAAGCCTGCCCTGGGGGAGGCTCGCCCGGCTGATCTGGTTTGGCTCCGGGCCAAGGGGTCAAGTGTCTGATGTAAGTTTGGTTCTCTCTTCCATCAGAGCCGTGTGTCCCAGATTGATAAACCTTTAAAGAAATAAAGGTCGAGTCAATCCGAATCTCCTCCCACCCTCAGCCACCACTACCAGCCCTGCAACACCGCTACCAGGCCAGATTTCCTGCGGCCCCGCCTGGATGACGAAACCCGCAATGGCCATTGCACTACCAGGCTTTTACGGAGAGCTCGGCCCTCGGTCCAGAGGATCGCTGGGGCTTTCACACAAAGCGCGGAGAAGGGTTCTAGGACCCAGCGGACGCCCCGTGATAAGTGGGCCTGCGGCCGTCCCGGGGCCAGCGAGTGGCGCCCTGGGCCAGGCGGACCTGGGTGCTGGTTCTCGGGCTCTGTGAGCTGGGGGCGTGAACACTCCTCCAAGCACCAACCAAGCCTCTCCTGGGGAACAACAGCTGGGGGGTGGGGTGGGGTGTGAACGGATAGGGCTCGGGGCCGGGCTTGTGGGGTGGGGGACAGGGATCCCGAGAATCCATCTCCCTGGGGTGCGCAGTCACAGGCAGGCGGGACCCGGGCAGGGGCGCACACAGGCCGCAGTCGCGCAGGCTTCAGACGCTACCCCCACAGTCCGGCCTCCGCCAGGCAGGGACAGCGCGGGGCGCGAGGCTGAAGGGGTCAACGTCGACCCCGCGCCACGGTCCCACGAGCATCCTCTCCTGCGCCCAACTGTGCGCTTAGCCCTCGGGATCGCGATCGCTGAGAGTCACTGTTCTGCCTTCCCGGCGCCCCTCAAGTTTCCCAGCCTCCCCAGCCAGCGCGGTCACGGGCTGTACTCCCCCCCCCCCCCGCAACGCGACCCTATAATAAA